CTTATAGTCCGAAAATTACGGTAGTTAAAGTTCATTTGGTCCTACAGTCCTACAATAGAACCTCATATTTCACCGTTTAAATGTATGATCATAATATATAGAAAGAAATGAAAAATACTCGATGCAGTCCAGGTAGGCCAGATGTGCAGTGAAGCTTTTATTTAGCCAAATCACACACTGCTCCTAATATTTGACTCCTTCTCTTCTTCATTTTATCAATAAGTGTGCGTGGTCCCTTTGCATCAAGTTTAAAACATAAAAGCTTAAACTTAAACAAAATGAGCTCCAATTCCAATGTTTATATAAATCAAATTAACTTAGTCATATTTTGGTTCTTTCAGGTGAGTTTCACTACTTTATTTTTTGCTCAGCTGAAAACGTTTGCGTAAGTTTCCGCACTCTTTCATGCAGCGTTTATTCTTATACATCCTGGGTTGTCCTTAAAGCACAGTACCGCATCTGTGCATACATGAGCATCCTGGGCTTGCTGTAAACCAGCAAAGCTCTATAATGTTTTTAAACATATAAACTTACACTGTTTGGTTCAGATGTTTTCTCTTCATCTTCTTCTTCTGCTTCTTTCTCTACATCTTCTGACTCCATGTCAGCTTTACTGTCCTGCAACCACATGACAAGCCAGACAAGATGATAGGAAACAGAAACATTTAGGAATAATGAAGGTTCCTACATGGTTTGGTTAAAATTCTATTTATACACTTAAAGTTTAAACATCAAATTTGACCAAAAATAAACGGAACATTTTTGCAGCTAAAAAAAGTCCCATTCCTCACTATATTAGAAGAACCTGTAACGATCTTGGTTCTGTTGTTTTTCTTTAAGTTTTCAGTTTCAAGTTTAGCCAGGTTTTTCATTGTTTTCTAGCTTCATTGGTGTGTCTGGAATTATTTACGGTAAGTTGCTTAGGTCTGTCCTCTGCTGCCCCTTTGTGTTCTTTTCCCTTGGCTTCCTCGTCAGCTCTAATCACACCTGCTCCCTATCAGCTCATTAGCTCTACCTTTGTTCAGTCAGCCATAAATACACTCCCTCTGCAGTCCCTCTTTGCTGGTTCCTCATCTTACCTTTTCTCACCCTGGCTCCTTGATGGTTTTCCCCTGATGTCTCCATTGTTCTGGTTTGTGTTTGATTTTTATGTCGGATTTTTGGATACCTGTTTTTGTTGCCTGATCTCTCATTAAACCTTCCAAGAACTCACCTCTGCCTCTCAGCTTCTTAAAACCAAATCTTGACAGAACCGTCACTTCTAAATATTAGGCCTCAGCATTTATTACGTCCTTCTCTTTATTTCCAAAATGACTTCAATATTCTTGTTTAAAAATGTGAAAATAAAAGGAAGACAATAGATTTCAAGAGGTATAAAAAAAAGACATTACAACTCTGAGGAGTGTAATACAGAACTAAGACTTTCTGTTTTTAACGTTGAACATCGGCCCATTTCTCCTGTAGCTTTTACTTTTTAATTTATTTAAAGATGTTTAGAGTTTCTTCAGTAATGCATACACTGCATAAGACTTCATGCTTTTCTATTTCTTTTTCCAAGACTAAAGAAAAAAAAAAGTTTTGTTTTTTGCTTCTCTTCCTCTCTCTGAAGACAGGTGGATAGGGGATGGGGAAGAGTAGAGCTTTTTCCTAACATTTTAATAGTGCTTTTAAAAAAAGGCATTAAAATTATTAATGCATTTATTTACACGTTAACCTGAATAGCCCTAGATGCAAAGGTGTTTTTGTTAACCTTACAGGTGCCAGGCTGTTTTTGAATCATCAGGGAACCAATGGAGAGAGGGTCATTTTTTTGTTTTCATAGGGATGCGGCTCTTCCAACTGTTGTATTTCCAAATTCTCCCGAGTGGTGCCCGACTTTACA